TCATAACTGACTGTAGGGGACTGTCATCTCTATTTCAAGGGCTGTTGACCCAGTGCTGTCCAAAGATGTTTCTAGGTCATGTGACCAGCATGACATTGCAGAACACTGTTTCCTCCCCACGGACGTGGTACCTATTTCTCTACTCGCATTTGCTTGCTTTCAACCTGCTAGTTCGGCAGGAGCTAGGTGAAGACGGGAGCTCACCCCATCACACAACGCTCGGATCTCAAACCTGGGTTGTTGAGCCATCACACTGCCCCATAATAATGAGCAGCAGATATATTTTCATGTAAAGATGCTATCTGAAAAACAAGGCCCCTATACATCCAGAGTCTTATAGCAAATTAACACAGCAATCACAGTAATACACATCTATTTTTTTTCCTTTGTATGTTGTCAGTTATCACCGTGTTGCCTTCCAATTCAATAGAGAGTATTTTCAAGAGCTCTGTAGAAGGGAAATTAAAATAGATGGAAGTCTTCGGCAATATGGCTCTTCACAAAGTTATACTGGCCTTGCATTTCCAATATGCAGGAAAAGGGAAAGGGAAATCTTCATGAAATAAAAATCCTCTAGCTTTATTATAGATGATTGAAAAGGGTACATGAAATGATGTCATGCAAGCTTTTTATTATATTGCATATTCAGATGCATTCTGCCCTGAGGCCAATGCAATTAATTGCTTTTTTAAATTTTATACACAGGATTATTATTATTATTTTTTAAAAAGTCAAATGCCAGAAAAATTCTGAGTACTCTGTCTCGTTTAGCTTTAACAGATAGAAAATTGGAGAAAAAGCTGAAGAACAAAACATAATTTTTAAGACAAGATATAAGGAAGAAAATCACTGTGCTTTTAATGAAGCATCTCAGCACTTGGAACATTAAAACAAATATTTCATAAGGAAGGAAAGATAATTAAAAAATGGAATAGCTGTACAAATCATGAAACAAAAGAACCAGTTACAGAATCATATATACCTTTGTTAAAGATTAGGTCACAACTTGAGGCTTTATTGGCTTTACTGATAAAAGGATAATATTAGACCCTAACAATAAAAGATTCACTTCTCCAGTTGTGCAATTAGGCTTAGTCCTATATTATTAATTCCAGTAAAATTCAGTTAAGCAAAAAAAAAAAAAAAAAAGGTTGGGTAGAGTATAATCATGTTTAGAAAATACTCCCTTTTGGACTTTTTCATAACTAAAAGGTTCCTTCCAAAGAATGAATAATTATAATTTTTTTTATTAAAAGGCCTTCTGAATACTGTTGTTTTCTTGGTAATATTCTGTCATTTTTCTCATTTGAGAACTTTGTAAATCTTGAGTTTTCAACAATTCATCACTTGACATAGAAGTAAAAATCTGGATGTTTCTTTTTTTAATACACAAATTCACCCTGCTACAGACAAGAAAAAAAGTGAAGCTGCACAAAAATCCACATCTTACTCATTGAAAATTGATGTTGGATGTTTCCATGTCCAGCTAAGCCAATTTAAATGTGTGCACATATGTGCAAAATACATAGCAGACTCTCTCCCATCATCACTCTTCGTATTGTGAATGTACTGTCTTTCTCATCTGTTTCTAGATTTAAATTGGAAAATGCAGGGCTTTTTTTGTCATAGAACGCCCAGAAAGGAGTTCCAGCACCTTTTTTGGATGGAATCTTGTAGGGTAGGCAAGGCGGGTTGTATGACATGTGTGAGTTCCGGCACCTTTTCTTTCTTTTTTTTTTTTTTACAAAAAAAGCACTGGGAAAATGTATGCTTGCCTATCTCTGGACTGGACCCATGCTTTCGATATTCAAATGTTTAAAATTATCCACCAAAATTTTAAAAGAAAGATTTGGGAGATATGGCTGACTATACTATATTTCCAGTATTTTGAATACTCTGGACATTTCATGAAGATAATAAAGGTTTATTTCCAGCTATGAAGTATAACCCATATTAAAAAAGAACCTGATATTTTAGCACAGTTACTCAGGTATGAGCCCATAATCTGTACAGCGGTAAGTGAAAATTATGTCCAAGCAATTCATTTTTTTTTTACTTTTCAGCACAACTTTTCCCAAAGTGAGCATTCATAGGACTGCAGCCTGAAATTACATATATTGCAAAATATATTACCAAAAAAGGCAAGAATGAGATTTGCCACTATAGCATAGCATATGTTGTACGACCTATATAGTCACAGCTCAGTTATATGGACAGTTTGATCTAACAGATATTCTGAGGTATACATTAGGTCAATTGAAATAATTTCTTAATAGAATACAAATCAAAGTGAAGGTATGATCCAATCATTTCTAAGCACTTTTAAGGCCTTTTGATTTCACTGGCTAAGAAATCATGTGCTTCTCTCTTGCAAAACAATATGCATAAATTAATTTGCATTATCCACAAGTAAAACTACAACAAAACTCTCCATAGGACTCTTTTCATTGTTCACCAATATTAGCTGCAACTTCTGTTCTTGGATGGAGATCACACTTGTTCAAAAACAACATTATCAAGTTTAGGATGACTTGTTAAAGTGAGATGAATGGTTGAAGTTCCTGGCACTCTTGAGGAACTCTCAATTCAGCCAAGAACTTCTGCTCGATGACTAACCGTCAGTATAACCCAATGCAAAGTTGGCAATGGCAATCCTAGAAGATGCTGAAATATTCCCTTGCTAGATACGAACATGAAGTGAAGCAACGTGGAAGCATATTAAATGAGAGCCATTAGCTCCTACAGTTCTAGCAACAGAGCTATGCATCATTTGGACTGTCGCATAGAGGTCATTTAAACTCAATGTATTTCCATCTAGTCAATTCCCTATCATGCTATTTGTCATTAGGACACTGGAGGTTGCTTTCAAGTTTGTGGATTTCATTGGTAACTTAAACCGATGTCTCTTGGCAAAACTTCAACTGCTCCATATTACATCAATTGCTGATTAGGCTTATCCTGTTTTTAGCACCTTGTTTTTCAATGATATTTATTATTAGGCACAAAGATGACCGCTTAAACTTCATAGTTTCCTTGGCTGAAGATCCCCCCCTTCCTTCTTTCCCCTTTTTGGTATGTATTCTAAGAAGGAGCATTTTCTTTAAGATTTAGGGGGGGGGGGTGATGTCAAGTCATTCCAGATGATCTGATATCTTTCAGAATGGATGATTTCCCCAGGTATCTTATGATTTCTGTCTTTTAATTCGTATCAGCACTGCAGGGATGGAACCAAGGGACCTGGATCTACTTAGCTCTTCCTTATTATAATGTATTAAGGCTATCTGACTCAGAATAAAAATTCCACCAACAGGAGAAATTGGTAACAGTATAACTGAGAGACCCAGCAGAAAGCCCAAAATAATAACTTGAAATCTTGCAAGTAAGCCATCTTGCTTCTCAGCATTGTGCAAAACAATGTAGTTATCCTTCTTTTTCTTTCATACCCAGCATTTCTCAAATTTATTGGGGAAATACTTGAAGAAAGAACGCCAAGCCATGCAGAAACAACCTGTGTGCTCTGACCTGAGTTATTTGTTATGGAATGGGCTAGAATAAAAATTGCTGACATCTCTAAAAGCAAGAATCTAAGCCTATGTTCTTCAATCCAAGATACAGATCCCACTTCCTTTGCTCAATTCACCACCAAATGCACTAATTTTGATCATCTGATATTCCACCCCACTTGGTTTTACCAAAGGAAGGCCCTAGTCTGATAATACTGGATTTGGGAGTAAAGCAAAATGCATCCTGCACTTTTCAGTTATCATAAAATATAGTATGTTTACTTCAAGTTCATCTGAATTTTTTTTTTGTCTGGATACCAAACAGTAAAACAGAAAAAAAGCACCAAGTCATTAACTTGCCCAGAAAAAAAGGAAAGGATCTTTAAAACAAAATGATAACCTGAAACACAAAAATAAGCACAAGGAAACAGTTATGCATATATTATTCAATAAAACCCCTTTTCAGGCTTAATCAGGTTGAAGGTATAAAGCACGGGTGTCAAACTCGCCGTGTCACGTGATGTGTAGCGACGTATCGTGACTTTTTTTGCATTGCCGGAGCTGGGGTGGGTGCGGCCTCCGTATGATGCAACCAGCCCGCGGGCCGGCAGTTTGACACCCCTGATATAAAGGAACCAGCAGCTAATACAGTATTGTATAAAACAACTATGTAAACAATGCCAATGCAGCTGAGTGCTGTAGTACCAGTCAAAAGACACAGTTCAGAGAAAATCAGGCATGCCAGAATTCTGTTGAAATCAATGCAATTTAAGTGCTTCATTGTGTGCCTATTTATTTTAATTTTGGCACACCCAACTTCCTCTGCATTCCCCCCCCCAAGTACACATTCATTTCAATGTATCTTCTACAATGTTGTGCAATAAAACAAACAAAACACCAGGCTGTATTTTGCCCAAGGTGAGCTATCTCCAAATAAAATATATACATTTTTTAAATTTAAAAATAAAAATAAAAACAAATCCTAACTGAAAAAAACACAAATCTCAATGTAAATTATCTCTATATTACTTTTTTTTAAAAAGTAGAACAAATCCATCAATGCGTCATTTCTAATAACCATACTTTTTGGTGCAAATATGTCAGGAATAAAATAAAATGCTATTTAAACCTCAGAAAGAAATATGGAGTCAGTAGCTTGAGCTGAATGGCAAAATAAGATTTTGTAGCGTACTTTCTTTGCTTTACTTCGGTAGGAATCTAGGTTCCCGGCACATTAGTAGTCCTAGCCAAACAACTGGAAGGAATAAGTTTGACTTCTGTTGTGTAGTTTTGATCAGGTGATGTACACAGAGGAACCTTGAAGATTTTCAGCAGTCTGGGCACTGTGCTTTAAGCTTTTCCACATGCCTTCCTTCGTTAAGACTGTACATGGTGTCTGGACTCAGCAGTGCAACAACAAGGCAGTCATGCTTGATACAAACTGTTCCTTTGCTGTCAGAACTCGAATTCAGTCCATGTGGTGAGATTTCCCCCAACTTTTAAATTGCAAATGAAGCACGATGTTAAGGAGGAGGCTTAAGTAGACAGCTGACAGGGGTATATTGAGAGCTGGAATGTGGCTGTTCTTCTGGAAGAGCTACATCAGGACTGGAATGAAAAAGCAGCTATTTAAAATACATGTCAAAGTAAGAAATGTGCAAAGAAAAAAACTGTTATCATGGAGACCGGTGACAATCTGCACCTTCATGGTATTTTAATTATTCTGCATATACCTATAATTCTTAAATTATATAGAAGTAACCATATGTGTACATAGAAGACAAACACCGAGCCATCAGTGCCATATTTACAATGAAACCAGAAGAAATGATATGATGTTAACTTAATTTAAACAGCCTTCTAAACCATCTTGGAATAGATGGGAAGATTGATTTAGCCCAAACGTTCAAAATTAGATGTTTCTAAATAAGCATTTTTATTGCTGTTGCTTTTGTAAGAATTCCAAGGAGTATCAACAATTTTGAAATCTGTTATCCATATATTGCAACCAAGAATCATTTGCGAAAAATTATGAAGTGGCAATAGCTTTATTTGAAATACCTGTTGACATATAGATTTTGGCTAGCAATCTTCAGACCCTGCTCTACACTGGAAGATTTAACATGTTCTTCACCAAATAATACAGCTGTAACAATTATTTTTAGAGGAAATTAAAACACTTTAAATTAGATGTTAAAAATACAAGGATGCATGGAAATGAAATGTCTGCTTCAGATCTGTATGTTATATTTCTATGCATTTTAAATTATTTGCACTATTTTGGATTTATTGGACACAGCTTTTCAGAAGGACATTTATGGGCACAGTAATATCTTCTAGAAGCAATTGAGTCACACATTAATTTTGTTCTGCAAAACCCATTGATTTCTAAGCCTAATTTTATAATTCTGAACTGTGTATCAATGGATTAGGAACTAACAGGATTGCAGAAATAGACAATTTATGACTACAAAACTATCTTCACTACAAAGTTGAAGTAAAACAAATTCTCAATGATTAATCCAGTGATCTGACAAATTCTCTTTTATATTTGAACAAGCATTTTGCACCAGATCCTCTATTTAGAGCATGGGTGTCAAACTCGATGGTGTCCTGTGACGTATTGTGACGCTTTTTGCCTTTGCGGAGCCGAGGTGGGCCTGGCCTGTGCGTGACACATCTGATCCCCAGGCCACCAGTTTGACACCCCTGATTTAGAGCATTTTTGGGATGTAGACTGTACGTCTGCGTTTAAAAACATAATTTCTTTTTTCTATTACATAAAAACATCAGAATGTTAATTCTGCAACATGAAAATAATATATCTGAAGTATTGTTTGGTATACTTTTGTGGAACTATTTTCTCTCTTCTTTGTCTTTCCTTTTTTCTTTCTTGCTTACATAGTAAAAACAATACAAATAGATCTATTGCAGCAAAACTTGCTTCAAGAAACTCTATAACCATTTGAAAATCCAGTTGGCATCATGGATCACACTATTTTAAGACTCAGGTGAAGAACCCCCAGGTTGTATGTGACCCTTGTTTCTTCACAAGGCAACTCCTGCCCATTCTTTTTCTATAATTAGCCCATCACTGAAAGATGGAAATAGATTGCTGCTTTTCAGTAGTTAATATCAATAGGGAACTAGCAGTCTGGGGCACGTTCCCACTGACTTAATATTTTTAAAGCACAAACACGACAATTAGCAGAGCTAAAATTAACATGCCATAAAGTTGCAAGTTTAAAGGAATAGAGGGGAAAAATTAAAAATGTATTAATGTAACAAGTTTGCTTTTGTCCAAATGAGAAATGATGATCTAATGGCACTTTTAAAATCAAACAAATGAAGATAAAAATTTAGGATAGTTATCAAGAACAACATAAAACCAATTAACAATTTTACAGTACAAAATAAGAATCTTTTCAAATTGCTTCAGATCGCATCTTTCAATCTTTCCTGACGTACTTTTTTGTTCCATCACAACCATGTGATGTGCAGAAATATGGTTTTGTCAGATGCAGATATACAGTGTTACAAAATGGAATTACAGCAATGAAATGTCTGTTAATAGTTAATATTTTAGCTGAGGCCTGCTTGGTGAGTGATCCCAGAGCAATTAGCTATCTTGCCCAACAACTAAAAGAGGCTCTGTCCATTCCTTATGAAACCAAAATAAAGAACTTATTTTGTAGTTCCTTAAAATATTTTGAAAAAAATATATTGAAATAATAAACAGAACAGCTAAAAAGCCACATACAACCAGGCACCATATAAATACAACACCTAGAAAAGCCCAGTGCACACATTCTGGAGAGAAAGAAGTTTCCTGAGGATGGGCTTGGAAGAATAAATCTTTGGTTTGGTGGCTGACTCAGATTGGATCCTATAAAACAGCTAAGATTCTGGAAGTTTAATTACAGAATATAGTCATATAGCTATTGTGCAGATAAAAATATAAAGCATTTGCCAAAATAGGATGTCTTACAATCTACTCTTTTGAAATTCTCAAATGAGACTCCAGTTCAATATCATGCCTAGAGTTCTATCAGTTAGATAAATAGCCGTGTAAATTTGTTTAATAAATAAATACATTTTTGAAGCAGCAGTACTGTCCAGGTTTGGAAGCAATAAGCTTCCCTGAGCATTCATGCAGGAAAACTGCAGGAAATAGCTCGTGCTAGAAAGTCACATTTCAAAGCAAAATAATCCTTTGAAGTATTTTAGAACTTTCCATGTATGAGAAGACCTGAAAAAAATCAGGTTAGGGACAGATCGTAATGGAGAAAAATCTAACTATGTGGTCTCCAAGAGTCAACAATAACTTAATGGGACATAATCAATTCCATTTACAGCATGGCCTATAAGCATGGAAATAGTTAGAGAGTCTATCCACAAAGTATCTCCTATCCCATCATTAAACAAGAACATTGCTCAACATTATCTGACTCACGACAAAAGATAAGGAAAGGAATGCATTAATCCAATTCCCCTCAAGGATTATGATAGAGCCACTTTATCTTAGAAAAGAATCAAGTATTTCTAAACAAGATTTCCAGCTCATTAAATAGTGAACACATATCATTTTCACTGCATCTTTCCAAACAATTTTATAAAATGAGTAAACAATAACATGTTTAACTAGTACTGTACCCTGAAGTTGCACCTAATTGTATCATTTATTGACAAAGTTTAAAAAAAACATAAAATCAGGCCAGGGAGAAAACACTAGAAGATACTTCTCCTTATAGTATTTCTCAACCAATGCATTCCAGATGTTTTGAATTTCTAGGTAAAAATAAGAATGGTGTTCAGAAATAAATCCAAGAGAGTGGATAACAATAGATTGAAGAAGATTGCTGTGTAGCTCATCTAAACACCATATTCTTATTTTTTACTTTTATTTGAATTAATAAATAAGAATAAAGATAGTCACTAAATTTTTAGATTACAAAATTTGTGGTTTTTCTGATTCACTGATTAGATAGCTGGAAATAGAGAAAAGCAATACCTATTTCGCATCCTGACATAATGATTTTTTATTTTAATCCTGCTCTGGAATACTTTCCCAGATGACTTTTCTAGCTTCAGTTTGAATTTATCTAATGAAGAGGAACCCATCATCTTTCTGTCACTGGTTCCATATTATTAGGATTTTTTTTCTTAACATTCAGCTAGAATCCATTTTTCTATAACACCACTGTTCCTTGTTTGAGTGTGTGCAGTTATGTTTGCTGTTGTGCAATGAAGCAAGCAGTTCTGACCTGGCATTCATTTCTTTGGGTACCATTGTAATTCTCCTAGCAAGCTCTGCCAAACAAAATGAGTTTGTTGTGACTGCAGTGTGTAATTGATGTGTGTGTGAGAGAGGGGGGTGGGTGGGAGGGAGAGAATTTGTTATGATTTGTTAACAGAATGTTTAACAAAGTAATTATTTTTTCTGATAGAAGAAAATGTTTGTGACTCGGGGTTGAACTGTGGGGTCCTTGGTGCTCTCTTAGCTTGGTGGTTTTCTTGGAGACGTTTCATTACCAAACTAGATAACATCATCAGTGCATTATTTTTAATGTAACTGTTATAAAAATGTATAAAGCAGTGAAGGTTACTGAGGACAGTGTCTATTGTCTCACGTTCCTGCATACAGTATCTGAAATAAAGACTGGAGATATCTTTTTTTCTTGGCATGAAGTTACTTCTTAAGATTAAAGATGGGTGGAAACCAATGGGCTGGGCTTTGCCTTCCTTCCCTTTTGGTCTTTTGTCAACAGGAACAGATCATTCTAACTTCTGTTATCATACAAAGATTGCATATGACCCCAGTGGTCAAGATTGGTGAACCCTGATCTAACACTGAGACAGGTTAATGCATCTGTATTCCTTTCAAACCAACCATTCCAACTATGTCCGGCAGGTAAACTACAGAACTCTCGGTGAATTTCAAGGAGCTCTGTCTCATGCATCTATCAGGCAAAAGGATAATATGTTACCCAAAAATTATTCAGCCCAGATATTGGGCTCAATGTGAATTCAGTACACCAGAGAGTAGCTAAATCAGCTACTTGGCAACTTTAAGACTTGTAGACTTCAACTCCCAGAATTCCTTAGCCACAAGTCTTAAAAGTTACCAAGTTTGGAGACCCCTGAACTAAATAGACAGAGCCTGGCTGAAGGCACAATTAATTTTTTATTATAGCGACACAATATGCTAGATGATAACAAAATAATGGGACTGTATCTTGCATGTAGATGGGGTTGGAATTTAAGGCTTTGTAGAGTTCAGGTTTTCTTTAAATAAAACAAATGTTAATTCCATTTTAAGGTTGGCTTGTGGCTCATCAGTCTTTCCCATTTCAAAACTGACACGCAACTGGATTTCAGTGGTGCATCTGTCTGAGGCTTTGGGAAGCACAAAAAAGGCCCTTTCATCTTCCACTTCAGTTCTAGTGATGTAGCAATAATACATCTAAATGTCATGCTCAGATCTAGGTGTGCCTACGAATTTAAAGCAGTCACAAGGAGTCCAGTTCCAGTTAAAATTATAGCCCAGAGGGGATAGAAGCAATTGGATTAATCTTTTCATCCAATTTTGTTTGGGAACGAACAAGCCCTTGAGAGTTTGTTTATTTTGGCCAGGGCAACAGGAAAAGCCAGCATCCTTTCTCATGGTGCAATCCACATTTGCTTCATGTTGTGCAAATAGGAATCTGCCTAATGCCATCTCAGACTGGTTCGTCAATCTAAACCATACCTGTTCTGACTCTCAGTGGCTTTTTACGATTCTACAGGCTCAGCCCTGCCTGGAGAGGCCAAGCATAGAATTTAGAGCCTTCTCACCCACAGCATCTCAGGGGTCCTTGGTGCTCTCTGAGCTTTGTTGATTTTTTGCAGACATTTCATTACTGTGCTGATGATGTTACCTAGCTTGGGTAATGAAAGGTCTGCAAAGAAACATCCAAGCTCAGAGAGCACTAAGACCCCTCATTTCAATCCTGAACTACAAATATTCTCCTTTATTGGCACAGCATCTCCTTTCCCACTCTGTTACAGCCCTTCCTATAAAGGAAAAAGGAAGTATATCTAATCTTCAAGATGCTGTAAGACAGAAGTGCCCAACCTTTTGGGCACTAGGGACCAGTTCCGTGGAGAAAGGTTTTTCTGTGGACTGGAGAGGGAGTGGTTTTGTGTGCTGCCTGCATCCCACGGATGGGGCTTTGCTTGTTTGTGCGGACCAGCTCATGCCACGGCCTGGTACCAGTCCACGGCCCAGGGATTGGGGACCCCTGCTGTAAGACACAATCAGAAGCAACACAAGGAGCTGATCAGAGTGGTATGTTTATTGCCTATTGATAGGAATCTTGCCAGACAAATGCACTTTCTACAGAACTTCTAAAATAGATAAACCCTGCAAAGCTTTGGGAGGATCACCTTTCAGCCATTTTCCTCCCCATCAGTGATTCAAGGCTAGCCAACCGTTTTACTCCTCCCTTCAAGTCAGCTCCAGAATGTACCACAGATGCTACTTAAATAGCTTCCTAAATTAAACATTTAATGGCCTAATCCAGTGTTGTTTTCAACTTTGGCCATGTTCAGATCTGTGGATTTCAACTCCCAGCCTGCAGGCAGCCTTGCTGGGAAATTCTGGGAGTTGAAATCCACATATCTGAAAATGGTTACGGTTGAGAAACACAGATCTAATCCTTGTAGATTCCTATTTGCTTACATAGCAGTGCTATTTTCTTTTAAAACACAGACACTTTTGCCTAGGCTTCACAGGTAGTCCTCAATTTGCAACCATTCATTTAGTAGCTGCTTAAAGATACCAAGGGACTGGAAAAAGTGACTGATGACTGGTCTCCACATTTATGACCATTGCAACGTCCCCACGATTATGTGATCAAAATTCAGGTGCTTGGCAATCTGTATGTATTATTTACAACAGTTGCAGCATTCTGGGGTCATGTGATCATCATTTGAGACCTTTTCTGTTGGCTACTGATAAGCAAAGTCACTGGGGGAATTCAGATTCACTTAAAGATCACATGATTCATTTAACAACTGCAGTGATTCATTTAACAACTGTGGCCACAAAAGCTCATAAAATAGGGTGCAACTCACTTAACAATCACCTTGCTTAGCAACAGAAATTCTGGTCCCAATTTGATCATAAGTTGAAGACTACCTATAATCTGTTTGCTACCCACAGGTTTGTAGACTTAACATCTTTGTTTTTTATAGTCTGCATGGGAATGTTGTAGAGGTGCAGGCAAATCTACAAAAGAAATGGCTTTTTAAGTTTTGTAATTTTATCTACTGTCCAGTGGAACTACTTTCTTTAAACATGACATATTAATACATATTGTTGCATGATTCCTGCAGTCCTGCAGGAATCATGCTTGGACACAGCACCACAAGTAATCTTTCCACATCAATTACAAAACTTTAAATTTGATTCAATTCAATTTGCTTTTTCTGTTTGTTTGTTTTAAGGGCAGATAAGGGTCTGCAAACATACTGATAGTAGCCAGTTGGAAGACAGAGTAGAGATTAGGGTTGGGAGTAACAGATGCAAAAAAAGTGGGATGATGAGAATCCGTATATAGCATGCAGAGAAAACCAAAAGGCGAAGAAAGGAGATTTAGCAGAACATTACCTGACAGTCTGGCAGCGATGCCTCCTGGTTAGTTGTGAGCGGTATGGCGGTAGTGAGGCAGCAGGCTGCTGACAATCTACAAGAGACTGATAAATTAGGCATACATATACAAAGAGATGACACAAAAGGTTAGTAAGTAATAAACACACAAGGCAGGTGGTAGAAGAGATTTAGTGAGGAATGCGTGCTCTATTTACGAGTCAAGAGGGTTAATCGGTTAAAGCATTGATAAATGCTGACAGAAACACTCAACTGTTTCAAACAGGAGTCTTATTTTAAAGGTATCCCTGACTTGCTCTGAGTTAACAGCCTGAGTTAACATTGGGCAGATTCAAAGTGTATTCTCAAAGATCACTTGCTAATCTAAATGTATTTACTGTTGCCCTGCTAAGTTGTCATCTTTTGTGGTTCTCGGATTGGTATGGGATACAGAAGGGAAAGAAGATTGATCCTTGACTACAATCAGTTAGGTAGTGACCTCAGTTTAGAAACCGGTTTTGCTTCTCTCATTGCAAAATCTAGTAAAAAAATTGCTATACTTGGATTGAAAAAACATGAAATCATTTATATTAGGGGCAAAGGGACTGTGATTAATTTCAACTATACTTGAATCAGGCTATCAATAAATAGATTTCTTCCAAGTTCCTAATCAATATCTAAATTAGCCATAAGCATAATTTTTTTGCTTGGTGTTAAGTACAGCTGAACACTGTCAAATTCTATAAAGATCTACACTGCCCTCCAATGGCATATATATGGTATGACTGTTAAAGCAAATTACAATGGTAAAATAGGACTGTAGTGGTGTATTTAATGACCTTGAGAAGGAAAGTGCTACATTTTACAATATTATTTCACCAACACTACTGTAAAGTGTTGAGTAATGCTCTGAGAAAAGTCATTTATATTTCAGCTTTGTAACTGTATTTATAATTATATACTGATGCCTGGAAAAAAAACACGGCACATTTAAAATGATAAAAATGTTTCATCATCTGAACTCAGTACTCAGTTAAAGAACTTGGAAATGGGAGAATTTCCCTCAGAAAAAAGCTTGTTGATTACTTTAAAAAGTGTAATTGCATTCAAGAATTTAGACGGATGTGTTCAACCACCTTTTTCTCACTAAGTTCTAGAGCAGTTGGAGAATAACCTACATAGAGTACAAAAGGCAATTTATTTATGATTTTTATTTCTACTTTTTTTTTTAAAAAAAGCAGGATTTAAAAGCAAGCTCTAGTGTTTTAGAAAATATATATATAAATAGTGGCCTTTTATATATAAGGACTCTATAAGTGATGTGAGAAGGTTTTTCAGAGAATTTCAATTATTTTAGGATATTCTTATAGTTTGCTGGAAGATTATTTGAATTTGTAAATTAATTTTTTATATAAATGGTGAATTTATATATGTGTGTGTGTGTATATATATATATATATATATATATATATATATATATATATATATATTAAAAACAATGCTAAAAACCGACAATTGATTCCTGGGAGTGTTCATGGTAAAAGCATACAAACGTAAATGAGCACCAGGAAAAACAAAACCTTTAAAAAGTTTAAAAAGTTTTAATAAATAGTGATCCAAGCTTTCGCCGGCTTTCTGCCGGCATCTTCAGGGATACATGTCGGTCAATGGGAGGGCACTTCTTATATTCCGGCCACCTTTGCACCCGGCCCATAGGATCCCTGAAGATGCCGGCAGAAAGCCGGCGAAAGCTTGGATCATTATTTATTAAAACTTTTTAAACTTTTTAAAGGTTTTGTTTTTCCTGGTGCTCATTTACGTTTGTATGCTTTTACTATATATATATATATATGAAATACCAATAATCCTCTTTCATATAATATATTAATACATATTCAAGATAAAGCAGTGGAATTCTTACATTCTCACAAAGTCAGGGATCATCTCTAAAGTTATGGGGGAGGAGTTGTTTTCAATGAAGCTGAAGTTATTTTGAAATCTATGAATAAGCATCAACCTGCCTCTTGGTGCCTAGATCCCAGCTGTCAAATAAGGAAAAATTGATATAAAAACATAAAAGGGCTTAACAAGTGCTAGGAGAGCCTTCGCACTTATGTGCCAGTTGTGCCGTTTCTTGGATCGTGAGGCTCTGTGCACAATCACTCATGTCCTAGTCATCTCCTGGCTGAATTACTGCAACACACTACCTGGGGCTACTCTTAATTCAGAGATGAGATCTGCCCCCCACTTCTGGTCCTCTGGAACAGCCTAAAACCTGGCTCTGCTGTTTAGTCTAGGGTCCCAAGAGGGGTGTATTACATTGAGGGTGGCTGACAGTGAAGATGCTCACTCCCAGGCTGCTGATCTTCTTGGTTCTTCACTTTTAATCTTTTTATTCTGGGGTTTTTTTTAGAACTTTTTACTTTTTATTATTTTGTAAGCCACCCAGAGTTGCTGAACTAGTGAGATAGGTGGTCTAGAAATTTAATAAACAAATAAATGCATGGACCTCTTCTTGTAAAAATCTATCACTTATAAACTTCTTTGGCAGTTCCCTGTTTCTTTAACTTTGGTTCAGTATAATTTGAATCCATTTCCACACTCCCACAAACGATAGCAAAGGCACGTATACATACAAAAAGCATTAAAACTTGCCTCCACAGATTATTATCTCGTTGCCTGAAAGATGTGTGTGTGTGTGTTTGTGTGTGTTTGTGTGTGTGTATATAATTTAAAGATGTTCCTAATTTTACCAGCAGTTTCATCCAATTCATCCTTTCACTTTTGTGGATTGACACACTGGACAAAATAATATGTGATATATTCAGTTTTGGCTTATTGTGATAAGTTCTAAACTAAGTCTTAGTACAACATAGGAACCCAGTGAGTATATGCATGGTTTTATAAACTGAGTTCACACATATGTGATACTGTACTTTAAGGGATTACAATAACATGCAGGTTCACACAACATGCAAAACTAAAGTCAGACAAACCATATTACAGTATGTTGTGCAAACCAGCTTAAATCTTAAGTCTTATACCTGACATCTCATCCACATCAAGGTCTCAAGGTGGCTCTGGGGGATAACCAAGGAATCACTCCATATGTATGTTGACAGATAGCTCCATAATACACCAAATACTTTGGATCACCTTCTGACCTTCAGCCTGACATTTGTCAAGTGGCAAGTGCTTTTAGGAGGGGTTTATCTTCACTGCCAATTTTTCACATGAAAGTGTGAATCTGAAGAAATTTAAATGAGCCATATCTATTTGCTGAAGATTTATTTGTTCACTCTAACCAGCATGGCAGCAACGTTCCTTAACTTTAATAGTAAGGATCAGGGAATAGCACACGCCATGTTCCATTGTGGCAGCGCTAAGAGACCATTGTTCAGGATCCCATTTTCTTTCTGTTTCTCCCACATTTGCCATTTATCCTTTTTCCCAATAATTCTAGTTCTTCATTAGAAAGGATGGAAATGCCACTATGGAAATGCCACTATGGATGGAAATGCCACTATGTTCTTCTTGGGGAAGGACATGTGACTAGGTTCAACTGCTTCTTCATTAGGTCTTGTATATTGAATAATTAAAGCCCTCTCAAACAAAGCATCCCAACAGATGCTGTCTATGTCTTCCAAATCACAGCAAATACTGGCACTAACAATTAATAACATACAAGGATCACAGCAGAAGAAAAAAGACTGAGATGAGTAGGTACAAAATCCTTTCTCAGAACAAGTCAGAGTTCCTTTCTGCATTATTCCTATTTTCTTTTACAGAGGGAAGTGATCAGACTGTGAGGACATTAGCAATGTTTTTAACACTTAGCTCAATTATGTTGGAAGTCACTACATGACTTAATAATGCTATTCAAAGAAAATATGTTGAAGCACATTCTGTGAAACATTGTATTTTCACATTTGCTTCATTTCCATTCCTAACACAGAGACTGCTAGCCTATATAGTTGGATGTCAAGATCAGGTTGCATAACCCACTAAATCATAATATATTAAGGCCACATGTGATGCACAAACACAAGAAACACTTCAAATTCACAACAAAAGGCTGCACTGTGTCTTCTTCATCTCATCATCTAACTAGTTTGCTTATTGTCAGTCTTCTCTTGACCTGGAAGGATAAATAGGATATTCTACTTATCTTTCTATTTTTGTCTGTTGGTGACAGTTAAGATCTTAACCTTCTAGAGGTCTCTGAGGATGCTAATTTTAATGTTTTATGAACAGTTGATACATTTTCTTCTGTTTCTTGATAGACCTAGCAATGGTCACCTCAGTTTCTTGCTTAAAATATCAAGTCATACTAAACCAAAAATCCATCTAATCCAACACCTTCAGTTGCTCTGTGAGGTGAGTGGTTTCTAAATGTAATAAAGAAACAAAGAAACAAATAAATAAAATCCTGACTAGTAGCCAACACTGCCAAACTCCATTAACAGCAGTTGCCACAATAGTTGCCACAAATCTTTATCACTAATAGCAATAGCACTTATATATTGCTTCAAAGTGCTTTACAGCCCTCTCTAAGCGATTTACAGGATCAGCATATTGCCCCCAACAATCTGAGTCCTCATTTTACCAACCTCAGAAGGATGGAAGGCTGAGTCAACCTTGAGCCAGTAAGAATCGAACTGCTGAACTGCTAGAAATTGGCAGTCAGCAGAATAGCCTGCAATACTGAATTCTAACTACTGCACTACCACGGCAGGTATCTGGCATGTATATTCATATTCCCTTTGTTGTTCTGTTTAGAAATCAAAGCTAGCAGGTAATGAAAATTTTGTTCTACATAAATGTGTAATTAATGAACCATCAAGATTGTGATTATCAATGTATCATACATATGCAGAACCAAAGTCTCTGAAGTAAACAAATTTGTTTTTTGCTTACAGATAGATCTCACCATAGTGCCTGGTTTTATCCTATTTTTCTGTTATTAATAAATATCTAACAATGTAAGTAACAATACAACAATAATATTGAGGATGGCAGCAGAATCAATATATTGTTTTGTTAATTAACGTTGAGTAAAGTTTAATCTGNTAATCTGTAGCATATTGAGTCAGAGTC